AGCCCACACCGGCCTTGAAATCACTGTAGTTGGAGGATAATCTTCAATTCCTGATCTTTCTGCCTCTACCCCTCAAGTGCTAGGATTACAGGTGTGAGCCACACAGTGCTGGGGATGAACCCAGGCCTTAGCACAGTGCTACACAGAGCTCTACCAGCTCGAGATTTTATAAAGCAAAAAACGAAAAAAAAAAAAAAAAAGGTTTTTTTGGTTTTTCAAGACAGGGTTTCTCTAGCGTTGGAGCCTGTCCTGGAACTCACTCCATAGACCAGGCTGGCCTCGAACTCACAGAGATGCTCCTGCCTCTGTTTCCTGAGTGCTGGGACTAAAGGCGTGTGCCACCACCCTGAAATATAATTAAAGATTTTTACAGATTTTTTCTGACTGTGGAAAATGTTTATTCTCCATCTATAATAACTACTGGATCTATAATAACCAGCATATGGGAAGGAAGAAGCCAAGAGAAGAGAGCACCTGGAGCATAGCTCAGGGCACACCTTGTGACTAACACAAGCAAGACCTCAAAACAAAACAAACATACAAGAAACAAGGGAAGCCAGGCGTTGGTGGCGCACGCCTTTAATCCCAGCACTCGGGAGGCAGAGGCAGGCGGATCTCTGTGAGTTCGAGGCCAGCCTAGTCTCCAGAGCGAGTGCCAGGACAGGCTCCAAAGCTACACAATGAAACCCTGTCTCGAAAAACCAAAAAAAAAAAAAGACAGAAAGAAAGAAACAAGGGACAGGGAGATGGCTCAGCCTATGAAGATGCTTGCCACCCACCCTGATGGTGTGAGTTCCATCCTGGAACCCACGTGGTGGAGTCCAGAAGTGACTCCTAAAAGTCCTCTGACCTCCACGTGTGCTCGCCTGCATACGTACACACAATCCAAATAAATAAATAGCCCTGTGGTGGTGGCGGTGCACGCCTTTGATCTCAGCGCTCGGGAGGCAGAGGCAGGCGGATCTCTGTGGGTTCAAGAACAGCCTGTTCTACAGGGTGAGGTTCCAGGGCAGCCAGGGCTACACACAGAGAAACCCGGTCTTGAAAAACCAAAAATAAATAAACAACAACAAAAACCCAAGAACGAAGAAATGGAGTAAGTGGCCCGAGCAAAGACCGTGACTGCCAATGAGTGAAGAAGGAGTAGAAACTGGGACCCTGTTTTGTTGTATTGAAAAGTAGGAAAACAGTGAGATGTAATAAAACGTAAAAGCCAAGAAGAAAAAGAGACCAGAGAGGACTGACCATGATGGCAGGAACTGAAGGGCACGTGGAACCTTCTGGGCTTCTTCTCATCCCTTCCTATGGATTCATGAGGGAGAATCAAGGAGGATCCCAACACATAAGACAGGGAAACTGCTGAATGTGGGGGGTGGGGCCTGGACCCCTGGGTCTGAGGGAGGAGGGCTGGGTCTGGACCCCTGGGTCTGAGTGAGGAGGGCTGGGTCTGGAGCCCTGTGTCTGAGGGAGGAGGCTGGGCCAGGAGCCCTGTGTCTGAGGGAGGAGGGCTGGGTCTGCATAAAAGAGAAGGCTAGGGTCAAATCCGCCTATCTAAGGAGCAGGGCCTGCGGGCTCACCCTGGCCTTGAGCAGCCTTTCCCTCTCTGCCACAGCCTTCTGCAGGAGCCGCTCCATGTGGACGATGTCTGGGTGAATTGCCGATTGTCTAGGTGGACAAAGCAGGGATGGGAGTTTACCTCAGCTGGCCTCCTCCTCCCTCTTCTCCTCATCCCCCTCAAGCCTCACCTATTCCCAGGGCCACAGTTGAGCAGCTGGTAGAAAGGGTGTCTCCCAGGAGTCCCCACTGCTTGCGCAAGAGCCGAGGCCTCCAAGGGTCCTGAGGAAGAGGGCAGAGGAGGAGGAGGCCAGATGTTCACCCTACCCCGTCCCTCTAATTCTCCAGTCAGCACCCAAGCTGTTTTTCCGTCCTCTGCTGCAGCCTGGGTGAGGGGGGGTGGGACAGAAGCAGGCCTTACCTGTACAATGGAGGGACAAAGGTCGGGGGGATCCCCTCTGGCTGGCCCTGTCTCCCCTCCTCCGGGGCAGGCTTCCTGTTCTCTGGAGACCGATAGACCCCTGAAAACACACAAAAGTTGTGTAAGTGTTTGAAACAGAAGCATCGCCCGAAGGTGCTTAGTTAGGATAATGGCTTTGCTGACAGCTGTGCTCTCTGGGGAATGAGCACTGGTGGAGAAGGCTGGAAATTTATGAGGAAATTAACCCATTAGTGGATTCGTGATCTGATGGCATCACTTGGAGGCAATGGAAACTACAAGACTGGATCCATGTGAGAGCTGGGGACACAGCTCAGAAACTGCCAGACAGCCATCTATGTGGGAAGTCAAGCACTGTCCAGCACAAGGGCTCAAAGCATGGGCCACCAAGCCTAAAGCTCTGAGTTCAGGCCCTGTGCAGCGGAAGAAGAGAATGGGCTGCTCTCACTAGCTGTTCTGTGACGTCCAGGCCAGGCCTCATCACGCATTCCCACTCCCCACCCCCTTCCATAAAAAAACAAATGTGAAGAAAAAAAAAAAAAAGTCAGGTGTTGTGGCAAGTTCTGGGAAGGCAGAAACTGGGAGAACCCTGGGTATTGCTGGCCTAGCCCGATCTGTGAGCCTCAGAACCCACTGAGAGAGCCTGCCTCAAAACACAGGGTTGGGGGAAGCTGGAGAGATAGGTCAGGGTTGTTAAGAGCATGTACTGTTCGTGCAAATGACCACGTTTGGTTCCCTGTGTGTCTGGCAGCTCCCAATTACCTACAACTGCAGCTTCAGGGACTCAAACGCCCCCTTCTGGCCTCTGTGGGCACTGCACTCATAAGCACACACCCACCCACCCCATACAGACACATATACACACCTTTTAAAAATTATTTTTAAAGGGGCAGGGGCACTAGGGTGATGGCTCAAGGACTAAGAATACATGCCATCCTTCTAGAGGCCTGGAATTACCTGTGTAGACCAGGCTGGCCTCAAATTCACAGAGTTTTTGCCTCTGGAGTGCTGGGATTAAAGGTAAGAGCCACCACTCTGGCTAAAAATAAATGTTTAAAATAAAAGGAAGATGACAGCTCCTTAGGAACAATAGCAGAGGCTAACCTCTGGGCACCCACATGTGTCCTCTTGCACACCTAAACATGAACACACATACCAAGAGATGGGTCTCACCGTAGAGGTAGGTTTCTGGGGGTATCCCCTGGCAAGGTATATCTTGTGCCCCACCCACTCTTTTTTTGTTTTTGTTTTTCGAGACAGGGTTTTTCTGTGTGGCCCTGGCTGTCCTGGAACTCGCTCTGTAGACCAGGCTGGCCTCACAAAACCCTGGGTTCGATCCCTAGCACCATATATAACTGAGTATGGTGGCACATGTCTCTAATCTCAGCACTCCAGGGAAAAGCAAGAGAATCAGAAGTTCAAGGTCATCCTTGGCTATACAGTGAGTTTGAGACCAGCCTGGGCTACATGAGAACCTGTCTCAAAAAACTTTTTAATAGCCCATATTTGTTAAAAGTATATTATCAGTCTGGTGGTGGTGCATGCCTATAACACCTGTAATCCCAGCACTGGGGAGGCAGAGGCAGGCGGATCTCTGTGAGTTCGAGGCCAGCCTGGTCTACAAAGGGAGTTCCAGGACAGCTGGAGTTACACAGAGAAACCTGAAGGAGAAGATGTAATTATATCACTACACCCAAGATAAATGATAACTGGGTGTTTATTGGGGAACAATTACACAGAAAAATACAAAGAACCACTGGAGCGTTTCCCTGCTCTTCCTACCAGATCCACTGACCCACAATAAAGAACAGGCCAAGGAAAGCCACGCCTCAAGCTCCTCTCTTTCCAGTTCTGTCTGCCTGAGGCCATGCCAAAGGGGTGTGGCCACCGTTTCAGGTCCACAGACCAGATGCCTACAGAAACCCGTCTCTAATAAATAAAGAGATACATAGAGAGAGAGAGAGAGAGAGAGAGAGAGAGAGAGAGAGAGAGAGATTTTTTAGGGAAACAGAAGTGCTGGGCCAGGAGGGGTACAGGGAGACAACCTCATCAAAGTAGCTTGTTGGTGACTTTTAAATTTCTCTCTTAGATTCAGGCTCTCATCTTGCATAGAAGAGAGAGCTAGGCAAAATCATGATAAATATCCTGTGGTCGTTTCCTCTTGAATCTTCCCATTCCCCCCATCTGTAGGCACAGAGCAACAACGGAGGTTCCCTCCCTCCCTCCCCAGTGAGCACAGAGACAGCAGCACCTTCAGGGAACTGTGGACGGAGAAGAGGCACGAGGAGGTGGAGGCCACATTCGCAGTAGGGTCCTGCAGAACCAGTAGCTGGCGGTCTGTCTTCTGTGTGAACAGCAGCTGGGAAGGGGAGAGGGGAGTGGTTACAGAAAGACAGGGCGTGTGTGTGTGTGTGTGTGTGTGTGTGTGTGTGTGTGTGTGTGCACGCTGGAGAGATGGCTCAGCAGTTAAGAGCACAGGCTGTTCTTGCAGAGGACCTGGGTTCAATTCCCAGCACCCACATGGCAGCTCACAACTGTCTGTGACTCCAGGCCCCAAGGATCCAGTGGCCTCTTTGAGCACTGGGCATGTTTGTGGTACACAGACATACATACAGGAAGCACACACACACACACACACACACACACACACACACACACACACACCGCATGCACACACACACAAGAAATAGGGATCCATGAGGTACTCCCAGTACACAGGTGATCTGGCCCCCAGGCCGCCAGTACCAGTCCATTTCTCCGATGGAAAAACAAAGGCCTGGTCACAAGAGGGCCAGAAGATGGTCCTCACTCTCCAGTCTCCCAGCGAGAGCCGAAGCCTGGACCCCTGGGTCTCATGGGAAAAAGTTGAGATTTCAACCCCTGTGTCTTGAGGGAGAATAGCTAGGGCCTAGACTGACTCCTGGTTCTGAGGTCTGAGGGAGGAGGGCTGGGGCCTGCACCCCTGGGTCTGAGGGAGGAGGGCAGGACCTGGACCCCTGGGTCTGAGGGAGGAGAGGCCTGAAGCTCACACTCCTGGTTCCTGAGGGTATAAGAGGCTGGGATCCAGGTCCCCAGGTCTGAAGAAAGAGGACCAGCAGGTACAGAAAATCCCCTACCTTGGTGAGCGCTTGGTCGGGCTCAGAGAGGTCCCCACTACATGTTCCCTGAAGACAATTGAGCTCAAACAGCCGGCTCCGTTCCTAGGAGAGGGCATCATGGAATCTCCCCTCACAACAAGGCCACACCCATAGACCTTCGGCTGTTGGTAACTACCCTGGTGCAGGGAGCTGGGACTTGCAGGGGGTGAGGGGGTGAGAGGGTGGGACAGGTCTCTGGGGAAACTCACCTGTGTGAGGGCCTGAACAGCCTCCTCCTTCTTCCTGCTGAGCCCCCAGCTCTCAGCCGCCATCTGCTCCCCCAGCGACTTGAGCTGTTCCTCCAAGACCTGGATACGGCGCTGCAGGGGACCCCCACTCTGGTCACTCAAG